TTCATTTTTATTTGATGATGTAGAATATTATTATTGAAATATTTTCGTTCTATTTTTAATTTACCTATACTATTTTTTAAAATATGCCTTTTTACTATTTAATGATGTAGAATATTATTTTGAAATATTTCCTTTCCATTTCTAATTTTCCTTTACTTCTAAAATAAAAAAATAAAATAAAAAAATAAAAATAAAAATAAAAAAGACTTTGGACTTCTCAATACTTGCCCACATTGATAGGCAAGCAATTATGTTTGTAAGAGGAGCTCAAGAGCTCATCTTTTCAAACATTTTCAATGTGAGATCAAAATGATCCCACATCAATTACAAAAGGAGCCCGCGGCTCCCCTTTGTCTTTTTTTTTTTTTTTTTTTGTTAATTTTAATTTTATTTTGTATATAGTTTAGTTTGGATTATTATTATTGTTGTTGTTGTTGTTGTTGTTGCTGTAGTTGTTGTTGTTGTTGATGTTGTTGTATTTGATTATTTGGCAAATATGTCAAAATTTTAAGAAATTCGTCTGTTTAACAATTTATATTTAATCAAAACACCAAAAATATTATTTAATAACTTAGCAATTTGCTCCAAACTGCTAAAAACTAAAACAACACATACATTTTGGGTTAATTAATCTTTCCCAAACCCCCTAATAAATTAAAAAATTAAAAAAAAAACGAAATAAGAAGTCATTAAGATAATGTTTCTTAAATAAAAGCCTTTTTGACTCATTGGCCTTCAATAGGTTGAAAAAGTTTATATGAAAAGATACTACATGTAACAAGGTCAATCGAATAGTTATGTTGTGGAACCGTGTCCACATTGCAAGGTGGACACTGTTCTATGTTCATAATTACTGAACTATATGTTCATAATTATAAAGCTATATATTCATAATCTTTGAACTTCATATTCATAATTATTGAACTGTATATTCACAATTACAGAACTATATGTTCATAGTTACTAAACTATATGTTAATAATTATAAAGCTATATATTCATAATTTTTGAATTTCATATTCACAATTATTGAATCTCTATATTGATAATTACATAACTATATGTTCGTAATTATGTTCACAACATATGTTCATAATTATAGAACTATATATTCATGATTTTTGAATTATATATTCATAATTATAAATAATTTTGGAACCGTGTCTACCTTGCAAGGTGGACACGGTTCCACAGCATAATTTGCTGAGTTAATAGTACTCAATAATAATAATAATAATAATAATAATAATAATAATAATAATAATAATAATAATAATAATAATAACAACAATAATAACAATAATAAGAAGAATAATAATAAGAATAATAATAATGATAATAATGATAATAGTGATAATAATAATGATAATAATAATAATAAGAGCCTTTGAATTTCTCAATATTTGCCAATATTGATTGGCAAACAATTATGTTTGTAAGTGCTCCTCTGATATAGAAGAGCTCAAAAACTCCTCTTTCCAAATATTTTCAATGAGGGATCAAAATGATCCCATATCATTTATAAAAGGTGACCAGTGGCTCCCTTTTGTCTCCTTCTTTTTTTTTTTTTTAATTTTAATTTTATTTTGTATATTATTTTATTTGGATTATTATTATTATTATTATTATTATTATTATTATTATTATTATTATTATTATTATTATTATTATTGTAATTTGATTATTGATAAATTCGTCAAAATTTTATCAAATTCGTCATTTTAACATTTTAACTTTAATCAATACACAAAAAATATTATATAATAACCTAATAATTTGCTCCAAATTGCTAAAAACTAAAACAACACATATAAATTTTGGGTTAATCTTTCCCAACCCCCACTAATAAATAAATAAATAATAAATAAATAAAAATAACTAAAATAAGAAGACAAAGTATTCATGTTGCACTAAAATAAAATCAGAGTAGCGCAGCGGAAGCGTGGTGGGCCCATAACCCACAGGTCCCAGGATCGAAACCTAGCTCTGATAAATAAATGTTTAAAAAAAATAACGGAGTATTATTTTTGATTTGAATTTCTCTAACTCTGCGTAATTCTCTTTTGGGTAGCATTGTCATTATCTTCATCTCCAGTACTTGTCCTCTTCTTTTTTATTGGTAGTGTGTCATGTGCAATTGGGTTATTTGTGGTAGCATAGAGGGTAGCGTCATGCAATGAGATTATGGTGTAGAAAGTTGTGGATTTACCTTGTGTATATGACTTGAATCTTAGTTGTACTATGAACTCTTGATCTTGCAAGCGCCTGTTGATATTTGACAGTGGTAGTTTTTTATCCTACATATATATTTCATGTGTTGTAAGATGTGTGTCGTAAATTATCATGTGAAAGAATTGAACAAAATATTAATATATTTATTATATTTGCAGAAAGTTCGTGAGAAATACCTCTTATTCTAGTTTCATAACTTGTTTACTTGATAGTAACAACAATGACTCTACAAGCAGTCTGAATACTAATGTCGCAATGTGTCCAGTTTCATCAACAATTTCTATATCCATTTTGCACATGTTCATTTTGAAGTTCATATTTTTGGAATTAGTATGAATGAGTGTGGTACTTGACTTTGTGTGTGTGTGTGTGTATTTTGTAAATTTTTTTTTTTTTTGTTGAATTGATACTAATCTTGGAGTACCCATTGATGCATTTTCACCACAATGCATGCAGTTAAATAGTTTGCTACTTTGTGCATAAACCTTTTTCAAATAGTGGTTACATCTTATATACCAAATATTTTTGTTGTCAAGTTTGATACTGATTTTGTCTTTAATTAAAACAGGTTGAGTTTAGAAAATCAAATGAATTGTAAATTTATATTAGTTCTAATATATTTTAAGGATGCACAATAAGTATTTTACATACAAGATCAATGAATGCTGCAATAGTGGCTATTTCTTGCAAGATTGATTGTAGCATTGTTGTAGTCTCGACATCTTTTCAATGTGTCAAGTGTGTCACAATGTTCTATTGCCCTACATTGACATTTTTAATATAATAATGAGTTTTAAATGTAACTACATAAAATAATGATCTAATTACCATTTACATATTATTATCATCATAAAAAGCATATCAATCATTTAGGTGTTTTGCTCGAGGTACATTTGATTCAACCATTATTATTGAAGTAGATATATAGTAGATAAATGTTTAAGGAGTGGCACATGCTTGTTAAGTTTACCCTCGTTGCTAAATTGTGAAAATTAACATTATATTCGTTGTAATGAAATATTGTGAAAATTAACTTTATATTCGTTGTAATGAAATTATCCGTGTTTGAGGAAAAATTATGCTGAAAGGTTGGCACAATTTCATATCCATAATTTTTATACTGTAGATTAATAATTTTTATACTGTAGATCTATAATTTCTAGACTTTCAATGAGCTAAAATTTATACTTTAGCTCACCAAAAGTTTATAAATTATGGATCTACAGTATAAAAGTTATAAATCTACAGCATAGAAATTTTGGATACTACACTTATTTGTGAAAACAGAGTTCAACAATTGGAATCTAAAGTATAAATTTTATGAATTCGAAAGTCTAGAAATTATTGATCTACAGTATAAAAATTATAAATCTACAGTATAAAAATTATGGATATGGAATCATGCGCACCTTGCAAAGTGGGCACGTACTCACATCATAACGATTGGTGTTTGAGCTTGTATGCTTATGTCGTGTGTGCTGAGCAAGTCCTAACAGTAGGAGGCATCGAGGCACCTTTAAACGTATACCATACCATACGAGATGGGTTCGAATTCCTGACCTCTCTTAAGGGACAAGAATGCACGGTCACTCATGTAGTATCTGTTTATATACTTTTCTCAAACTACTAAAACCCAACAAGTTAATATCGCCTAACCCATGATCTCTCATTTTTTTTTTGAATACTATTGACCCTATTACATGTAGTATCTGTTTGTATACTTTTCTCAAACTACTCTCATCTGAGAAAGTCATTTACACATCACTTGACCACAAATATCTATCTCGATCTTTATTTGTAGTCTTAAACAATCGAAAATTCTATATTAGAGTTATAAAATAATGGGTTAAAAATTTCTATCCAGCACAATTGAAAACGGATAGAAATTTTCATTCACTCAAGTTGTGAACGAAAAAAGATACAACTTCGACACCCTTGTCAGATTAAAATTTGGATGCATTGAAATTTTTAATCCACCAATGAACACGAAAATCTTTTTGAATTTTTTTAAAACAAACCAATGGGAAAAAGCACTGAAACGAATATAGCATAAAGAGTCAATGTCCCCACTAAATTTCAAACCTATGACCTTCTATCTGGGAGAATTACAGTTATACTGCTTGACCATAAAGTCTTTGGCCACCACAACAAATATATTTTTCCATCATTACATGTCTTTGTAAAGTAGAAGCTCTCTACGGGATCCAACAAGAAACAATGTATTTAACCCACACAAACAATGTATTAGTCCGCACAAACAACTCAGTTGAAAAATATTAAGATTGAACAGTTCAATTGGAAAATATTAGAATTGAGCCCAAACAACCGCAGTTTAAGAGTTACACCCAAAATAATACATTCTTTGCAGGTACTATGCATTGATTCTCTTACCTAATGTGCCATTGAATTATCCTGGGATCTTAGGACCTTAGGGTGAGAAAATTTCACTTTTTACAAGCAAGAAACAATTTATTTATGTATCAACAGTTCAACAGAACAACATTTTTGACATTCATTGACAATAAATCCAACCATATATATATAAAAATATAAAAATCAAGGGCCCAAAGGGCCAATTCTCATTGCTGAGAAGTTAGAATCCATTGGGATAAAAATTACGAGCATTCAGTAGTTAGTGAGATGCCATAATTATAAAATTAATTGAAGGAAAATAAACGAATTTCACGTGCATGCTCTCTATCCATTATTAAACAAAAAAAATGAAACTACATATAATTACATTGTTATATGATTTCAAAATGAGTATGAGACGACATAAATAAATCATCTTTATTTAACAATTATTACTTTATTAGAAGAAAAGAACCAAAGAGGGGGCCTGTATAGCAGATACTCGAGGGCCAAATACAAACCCACATGTACATATGAGAAAATGCATGGATACCATCATTTACTGTCATTGTTACCGCCACCAAACTGTGTAGAATTTCCATTCCAGAATGCATTCCCGTCTCTAAACTGACTATCGTCATCGTGTTTCAGCGTATGGATATTGCTCCCGCTCCCAAAGGGAGATGAAGGCTGCTTTCTGTTCTTAACATTGCTGCTACTGCTACCAGGCGTATTACCGTTGGATGAATTCACACTGTACGGTCTACCATTTCCCGCAACATTATTCCGGGGTGAAGGATTTGAACCTGGCATCCAAATCCAAAATCAAAGACCGTTATCAAGACTGGAGTAAACTTTAATAGTTCCTTTGTTTCCTAGAGAATAAGATGAAAATGACACTGATCCAATGTAGGATGGTCATCAATGAAAGATCAAAAAGTAGCAGCACCATAACCAAGATGAAACCTTAGAGATTTCTCCAGCTATCAAGTAAACCACAACCAAGATGAAACCTTTGCTTTTGTTGGTAGGTGCTTTTTGGGGTGACTTGGGAAACCCACAGCTACTCTACCCGAGGGTGTGCACTGGGTAAACCCAGTCTTGTGATCCTAACCTAGCCAGCAAATGACCACAAGGAGGTAAACCAGCCTAGGTTGCTCATAGATGACCGGCTCAAACCAAGAGGGTTGAGATTCAAACTTGTGACCTTGTGGTTACAAGTTTGTATCCTTAGCCATCTTGGCTGGGTTACCCCCAGTTGGTAGGTGCTTTTGTGTGTGCATGTGTCTGGGCTACAGGGTTGGTCAAAGATTTGTATTCATCATTTTGAAAGCAGTGTCAAGAGTCGAGATACTGACTATCCTCTATTCTCAACAAATGAAGAGGAAGTGTAGTTCTGAATCTCTCAACCAAGGAAATATCTAAAAGCTCCTCTATTTGTCACCACTCCAATTAACATTTTGAGCTGTAATAATTTCAGCATATCCATCTACAGCTAAGCATATAATAGGTTCAAAGAAACCAAAGCCATACACAGATTGTCACACCAAACAGAAATAAAAATAAAAATAAAAATAATTGAAATGTGAGATGTTGAAGGAGCTTCAACCATAGGATTGAGTATCAGTTATCAAAACAATGAAGGGAAGTTACCATATTGCAATGTGGCGCTTTGAGAATCCTGTACAGCATCTGATGAGCTTGCACCCCCACCAAGATAGGAAAAAGGATTCACATAAGAGACGAGTCGTCTAACAAGAGAAAAATATCCTTCGGCATTACCACTTGTGGCACTAGTATTGTTGGCCAAAATATTCTGGTCACGCAATGAAGAACTTCCTTTGTGATGAAGAACCACAATCAGTGCTTGTCGATTGAAGAGATTCAACTCTGATAATGTTTTATCCAAATCTACATCATATATTAAATACAGGAAATTAGCGCTACTCTGAACTTTGATACTCAGGTCATAACAATTTGGGCACCGTGCTTCCTGTTTCCATTATCAATACAATCAGGTTTCAGCTTAGGTGCTTATACTAATATATATATTGGGCAAAAAAAATAAAGATTATGAATCTATATCAAAAGAACTACTTATCCAAAGATTGGATACTAAAGTATCAATAGTAAAAACACAGTAAGCTTGTGCATTCATTAAGATTGAAAAACTTTGTTTACTTTTGTATTCTTCTACTGATGTAACTTAGGACTTAATACCTTGATCAGTAAAGACCTTGCGTGGATAAGGAACTGCAAGATCATAAGAAGAAAAGCCGATGGATTGGTTTCTATCAATATGGTCTTTGACTGCTCTCAAAGTGTCCATCACTGACAGCTTCACCTGTAAACTGGAACCATCAGGCAGTTTGATGTTTAAATGAACATCTGTTGATGTTCTGGAAGAAGATTCTGACACATTAACTTTCTCCACTTCAGTTTCAGTTGCTTTACTGCCACCATCCTTGGAAACTTCATTATTTGGTGGTGGGCGTTGGTCAGATAAATGCGACCCCTCTATTAAGATAGGGTGCCCATCTTTAAAATTGCCAGTTCCTTCTGCCGCATCAAATGATTTTTCCACCTTTGCAATCACAGGGACAGCAGAGTTGTTACTTTCACCACTTCCAGATTGAACAGTAGAAGCTAAACTAGGAGATAATGTGTCAACTGGAATGGAATTCATGTCCTGTCATACGATAAAATTTGGGGGATCATCAAAATTCTATCCTTAGTTTATCTACATACTAGATAGAATACTAGATGTCGAGTTTATCTCAACCCTACATACAAAAACCTCTACCTTCACAGGGGTCTGAGAGTCCATAGATGGTCTAGCCTCAAGAGACTCTGCTTCCTTCACTTTGGTCTGAGAGTCCATAGATGGTCCAGGCACAACCGCCTCTGCTTCTATTTCTGATGAAGGTGGTGGTGGAACATTTTCCCTCGATGAACTGCCCTGCTCAGGTGAGGCAGAATTCAAAGTTCCAGGAGATGATTCAGCCTTAGAGGCAAGTGCAGCAGTCAACAGTGTCTCCTGCAATCATAACAATTTTAATTGTACAAAAACGTGTAGAATAAACAAAGATTGGAAATGCAGGATCTTCATACACTATAATCAGAACATCTTTTCAACATTGTACACACCATTGATACCAACTTTTTCTTTTTAATTTCTACTTAAGTATATATTTCCTCCAAAGACTATCTTCCAAGACCCTATAGGCTATCGTGTGTCGCTGTGTGTGTGTGCGATAAATATACAAAGGGTCCAAATTGCATTATTTTGGGGAGCTAAAATCAAGGAATTATAGATTGATTGATTATCTTTGATTGATGCTTGCCTTTTGTTTTTAAATATTTTTATAGATTATAAATAACACATTCTCTTAGAAAGCAGATATGATGTGATTAGTAAGAAATAATCAACAATAAAGCTGAGGGTAAGAGTCATTTCTTGCTGGAGAGTACAGAGAGTTGCAGCTCTTCTAGTTATTTCTACTTTGCAATACAAATTCTGATTGCTTTCAATTAAAATTCCTTTTGCTGCCTCTTTACTCCATCAGTGTGTATGTGTAAAGTGGGGTGTTGCATAAGGGAAGAATAGAAGTCTGCAGACATATGGCATACTATTAGCAATGTCTTTATTCTTCAACCATACGATGGCATCCCATCATCACAAAATTCCTAACAAGAAGCCAAGGTTAAAGAAACATGTACTTGGGATTTGGGAATGATGAGTGGTAAGTTCTATCTACATTAGTACCACAAACCTAAAACTCTGGCAGACCATTTTGCACTGCCTAAATGGAAATAGATACTCTTTTTCTTATTCATAGGAAAATGCAAAAATCTTAAATTCTCTGCTTTATTAACTATACATAATAGGAAAGTGGAAACATTTTAACTAGCTCATCAAACTGGCAATAGAAACATGCACTATGAAGACTGCAAGAGGACTCAGAAACGCTTTTGCACACTATCCAGAAGACCATACCACATCCTCCACCAATAAGATACAAAAATGAACATTAATATTAGACTGCAAGAGGACTAACAAACCCCTACCTGAATATGAAGACTTAGCCATGCCTTTTCTAAGCTGGATGCTAGAACGTCTGCAGCAACAAAGCCCTCTAGAGAGACATTTTTAAAAAAATTAAAATGAATTAAGTGCTGCATGACAAATATTTAAAATCCAGCCAGGGAATATCCTAAAGTTCCATCTCAAACTAAAGATAAAAAAAAAAATTAAAATGATAATAGCAAATAGATAAATCTCACCATGTTGCCATAGTTGTACGCCATTGTATCCAATAGCAGTTATACATGGGGCAGCTTTCTGTGGATCTGTAATTTTGATGAAAGGAAAGCTCTATACCCTTGATGCACATGAAAGCAATATCTTTTTCATGAAAACCCATCCCACTCAAACTTCTATGATAATAGAAAATTGATTGAAAACCAATGATTCAGAAAGTATGAGAACTATCACACAGCCTTTATGTATTTATAGGCCAATATATATATTTCCTATGTTAACTAGGATTACCTAAATTTTGTTCAATCTCTAATTCTAAGGGATTACAACCAATAATGCTAAATATGAAGAATATTGTGATTTGTGTTATTCAACTTGTAATTACCAGTTCAAGGAACAGCTTTGCAGTAATGTACATTGTCCCAAAAAATGAAAATGACAATAACAATAAAATCAATTTTGTAAATGTAAGATTTTTTTATAAGTAAATTATATATCTATACACCCATCCACGCACCCTTTTTGTACAAGCTTTTTTGTACACAAAAGTATGGCATGTGGTGTCATGATCTGATTATTACAAGACTATAAGCCCATAATTATGTGGGTTGTCATCTATTTTGGATAAAAGATTTGGTACATCAATCTTTGTAAAGAAGGAATCCTCATACATAAGGGCTACTACATGCTTCCTGAAAAAGAAAGAACCAGTAGATTCACGAATGCTATCGGTGCCACCTCAACTAAATTTCTAGTTTCTTCTCCACATGTATTATTTTATATTTATTCTCAATAGAATTACCAGAATAAATATAAAATACAGTCACTGGAGTTCCAAGTACAGGCATAAACTCTCTATCCCCCTGTGACTAAATTAATAAATACACACAGAAGTGACAAATTAGGCAGCTATAAAAGAGGATATTACTTTTCATAAAATAAAATATGGAAAAAAGCACTTTAGTCCCTGAAATAGTGGTAATCTGTAAATACAGTCCCTCAATTATATAGTTGCAAATGGCTTTCTTAATTGCTCTCTTAAGTGGCTAATTTGGTCACCCATGACAAAACAATCATTAGTTCTGTCTTAAATAGTTAAATTCCACGTGTTGCAATTCCTTATATCAACCCTGCTTTCATTTTTGACATAAGAGACCAGAACACAAGCTAAATTTAAGACAAAACTAATAGAGGGGATCAAACTAACCACGTTAGAGGACAATTAAGGATGACATTTGCAACACCATGATAAAATAATACAAAGGGACTAGATTTACAAATCACTACTGTCTGATTAGCCAAAAGTACTTTTTAATGATAATTTATTTATTACAAAAAAATCATGTACATAATTTACAAAATAAAAAAGGATACACAATGCTGAGAAATTTATTGCATCACTACTTCCTTCCACAATGTGCAACAAAATGCAATACTTAGATAAAGACCCTGCCACCTGATCACAGCAAGTAAATAGTGATAAGCGATTGAAAACTTTTGCCTTGCTAGCTAGGATAAGAGAAAAAAGCTTACTTGTGAGTCCAACCATGTAGAGGTTTCCAAATTATTAGATTCTGAGTTATCACCTATAACACAAATTTGAAACATGTGAGGGCAAAAAGGATATAGTCCATGGTTAGGTAAAGAAAAAGAAAAGAGGCGTTGAGAGCATTTTAATTATTTGCCTATCTGCAGTACATTTTGGGGAAAGTGTCTAGGCAGCTTTCGGGAAAGCATTTCATCAACAAAGTTTCTTCACCAATCACCATGAAAATGTTTTAATTTCGATATTGGTTCATAGAAATTGGTTGTAAGACATAGTAGCTTTCTTATTAGTGTGTAATGAAATACGTATTGAAGTCTTGAGTTGGAAATGTGTTACTCCATCCCAAAGGGTGAATCCCTCTGTTCTTCCACTTCTCACTCCTCTTTTCTCACTCAAATATTCATTTCCTTTATATAACAATAAACCATGAGATGCACATCATAATTTCCTTTATATAACAATGAACCATATGATTTTTCCTTTAGAATTCAAATTTCAACAATGAGATGCACATCATAATTTCAAAAACTACTATAGACAAGAATGGATAAATGGATGCAAGAATGGCTTTATAATTTAGAGCAGAAAGTAAAAGATAGTAAGGAATGCAAATTTTCATGATGATGAAATAAAAATTTTTTAATTTTTTTATCCTGCTAGTTACATAATGTCTTCAATGCACAGCTATAATATAAATATATAAACAAGCACATATACACAAACATATATACACAATATATAGATGGCAAAATAAATGGAGAAACAATTTTTTCCACCCGGGTGAAGAGGCAGGTAAAAGGAAGGTGAAGAGAAAAGAATTGTAAAATAATTCTTAGGTCATTTAAGCCAATCAATAATTAGCTTGAAGGTGACTATGGATTAAGAATAATTCATAATTATAAGCTTTAACAAACAGAACCAATGTAATATTTTACAACATGCATGGAACATAGTAGATCCAGGTTACTTATAGAAAATTAGAAACTCTTTTTCTCACCTGAGATGTAAACTACAAAAAGTTTCTTCTGCTGTTTGGCTTCAGTAATTGCTTCACCAATAGACCCCTTGAATGCAAGAGATGACAGAGACTGCTCCATCTAAATCAGGTATGTAACAACAATACCTCTAATTGTAGTCAACAGCCCTACACCAGTTGATACAATATCGAATTCAATACAACAAACAACTTCTATGCAAATTAGCAATATGAATTGCAAGACAAACTTAGCAATTCAGAAACATCAAGGAACATGTTAACACATAACTCGAGAAAAATCTAATACGAGTCCCAAGAAACACCAATGACACACACACACACATACAGATGCCTACGAGTTGTTCCAGACTACAATTTTAGAACTTGGAATCAAGTTTAAATCAATTCACCTATGTTACACACAATTCTTTTTACACATCTCATACTAAACTGTAGAATCCTCCTTTATCCACGGATATGACCTGCTTTTATAAAGGCAAGAATAGATGCCTGAGTAGAACACATTGCATGGCAACTAGAATTGCTTATGAGATGAATAAGCATGATTCAGAAATCATATGAAGATAGAAAATACAAAACTTGAAAAAGATTGACGGTAGGATATATTTAGTTATTTACACAATATTTCTTAATATGAGTAGAAAGTAAAGTACTTTGCCACCCACTAACCAGTCATAGAGAAAGAAAATACAGTATAAATCTTAGCACACCCAGACTCTCCAAAAATAGAGCATTTGGAGCAAACAACATATTCTATGAGCTCTTTTTCCAAAAAGAGACTATGGTAATTGAGTGAACTCTTAAAACAACTCTATGAATAAATGATGAGACTTAAAAGAGAGATCCCCAAGGAAAGGTGAAATTTAGATTAAATCAAATCCTAGGATTGAAGATAAATAAATTTAACTCACCCGAATTCATATACAAGACAGCACTCTGCTCAATACAAAACATGTGTGAATCAAACAAAATATTTACCAAAAATCTAAACCGCAGCAACTCCAAAAATTGATCAAATTCATTATTCACTAAATTATCCAAGTTCATCCAGGCACACGAAATAACAGAATCTACCTTAAACCCTACACCCGCAGTGGTAATCAACGGCACATAATTCTAATTAATAAAAGAAAAATAACAAAATCCAAAAGATACAATTTTTTTTTTTTGAAGTTATACAGAGATTCATACTATGGATGATAGGCAACTAAGATCAAACCAAATTCCAGACATCAATTACTAGAACAATCATACATGTGGCGAATGATATGAATCTAGTATAGTAAAAGAAGACTCACCTCTTTACCTATTCCTCCTCCTCGGAGTGGGTTTCCGTCTCTGATGTCTCTCAGCTTCCTTCCAGTTCGAGACGACACCTATTCGTTTTCCCCTTTTTCCTCACTAGGCGGTTTTGGCCTGTTGGTGTCAACTGTGCCAAGATTTTATCAAATCAAATACTCCGGACTATTCAAAACAAAATCTAATTAACTAACTATAAATTAGATTATGAGTTCGACCCTAAGTGGAGGTGTTATTGGTTCTTTGTGTTTCAGTAGGTTGAGAAAGTATATGAACAGATACTACAATGTAATAGAACCAGTAGCTTTAAAAAAAAAAAAAAAAAAACTATAAATTGTTAAAAGTTAATTATACTTTTGGTCCTTATGATTATTGGGGTTTGTTAATTTCAATTAACAACTTTTAAAATTAATAATTAAGTATCATAATTATTCAATTTTTATCAATTTTAGTCAATCCGATCAAATTGCTGATCAATTATCGCTATAATCTTTTAATCCATTTTAATTTGTTTAATGTTGAGGACAATATTGTCATTCCATGTTAAAATGAAAAGGAGAAAGTGAGAAGGCTGGTCATCCTAATATATTAATTTCTGCGACGGGAACGAGTAGTGTGTTCATTACTCTCCAACTAAGTAAGAATTACTTTGTTAAAACTTACAATCCTATGAAAATACCATTGTTTTCGTGTTGACAATATTTATTGTGTGTGGAGTGTGGAGTAGAATTGCAGTAAAGCATAGTTACGTTTTGTTTTGTCGTGTGGTTTATATATGCATTATATATTAGATGTGGAGATCAAGGTTTTTGTACTTGTGTTTTGTTATGTGGGGACCAATTTAATTGTTGATTATTGTATTGTTTGTGTTGTGTGTGTATATGATTATTGTATTGTGTTGTGTTATGTGGGAACCACTATGTTTATCTTTTTGTCGATACGTCATGTGTATATATTGGATTTAGGAATACTATTGGGGACTATTGGTGTATAACTTTATGCTTTGACTGTTCCATATGTAAATGGTGTTTGTTGCTTTACATGAGATGGAGTTGGCCTTTCATTTTTCATAAAAGGGATAATAAATAGGGTTGGTGAAGTTAAATATTTGGGTGGTGATGTAGAAGTGTATACCAGAATGGAAGCTAAGAAAGTGTGTCTACCTGTGGTGATGTAGAAACACACATTGTTATTGGAATGGTAGTTTGAAGTTACTACAATCAGATAATGATGTGATATCTAGATGAAATAAACTTTTATGATGAGGACTCATTAGTGAATTCTGATAGTGATGGTGAAGGTAAATGGCCTGTATTTAGAACTACAATTGACATAAAAGATCCCCATTTTACATTAGCCATGACTTGTGCATCCAAGCAACAGTTTAGAGAAGTACAAAATTATGTTTAATGGGAAAGAAATTCAAATGTTAGAAATGACAAAGAGAGGGTAATTGTTCAGTATACACATGAGGGTTATCTTTGGAGAATAGGGTCGAGGAAAGTGGTTAACTCACTGTCTTGAAGGATTTTGAAGATGACAGATGAACATAAAAGTTGTTCATGGGTTTGGGAAAATTCTATGGTGAAATCTACTGTGGTTGCAAAAAAAATGTTACAATTAAAGCTTGAGAAACAAAATACCATCATACAACATAAATTGCTGTTTTTGTGTTGGGTTCAAATGTGGATTAAATACATACCATTTGTTACACAGACAAATCCCACCTCGCAATTTTTCTTTGGTTCTCTATCTCTCCCAACAATATCCTTCGGGTTATCTTTTGCCTATCTCTTTGCTCAAATCATTTGTGATCCTCACCGGTCCCTGCTCGCTTAACCATTCACGAAATGAAAGCCGCCACTCCTCACCAATCAGTCAATCACCGTCTTCCATCTTGCAGCAGATATGTAGTACTACCAAAATCTTCATACCTAAGTTTACCAGTTCAGACACTGATCGTGCACTGTACATTAACCGTTTCCCAGACCAAAAACAGTGGACCTAATTATCCTGCATCATCTATTCGTTCAAAATACATGTGAGACAGCTCGAGGAAGCCAGGAAAAACTACACTCTTCCCAGACCTTACCACGTCTTATGACCTGTTACTTCTTCCGGGAAGAAGGAGAAGGGCTTGATGCCTCTTTAAACGCAGATGGACACAAGTCCCTTATCGTGCAGACTCCACAGCGAGGCCTCAAAGGTGTACATACAGTCTGTCCAAATCCCACCTGTCATGCAGAGCAAGATGTATATACCAAAACTTAAGGCCTCACATGCTATTTTCACCGTATAAGGCAAAGGGGATGGAAATAATGACAATCTAAATCAATATTTGAAATTTTACAACTAATGCACGTGCAACTGAAAAAAAGTGAAATGCAATTGATATTTTTATAACATATAATGTTATACGGTAGCTAGTGTTGGGAAATGAAAAAGCAATTCAGCCATTCAAAGGTGAAATTCAAAACACGGGCGGTGTGGATATTGGTTTGGTATGCATATATGCAATAGCTTTTAGTATAGAAGTTCTAGTTGAAAGTCAAAGGTTCAATATCGAACACTATTGTAAAAATCGGCCTGGGCCGAAGGGATTTTACCCTTAGGTGGACATTAGTAGGCTGGCCGACTAGGTGGCCTAGGCACCTGAGTCAACTAAACTCGGCTCTCGAGTCGGCCAACTCGACCGAGTGTTTTTTTGGTGTACAATGTGTATATTGTTGTGTTTTTCTTGTGGTGGTGGTGGTGGTGGCGGCAGCGGGTGATTGGCTGCTCCACTGCTGCAAACGGAAAATGACCCCCCAAAAAAATGGGAAGTCATTTTCTGGAAAATCCCCTCTATTTTCCATTGACTTCCATTTTCCCTCTCTAGCCAAACACTGGAGAAATCATTTTCTGGGTTTCCAAACGCACCCTTATTATTATTACTCGCCTGCCTACGCGCTTTAGGCGCCCCGGGTGCCTGACTAGTGCTTATCGCCTAGCGCCTTCTACAACATTGATACCAAAGCTATAGTCCATAGAGAATTTCAAACAATTTGTGCTAGATTAGGCGGGTATTATTTGAAAAGAAACAAATAAAGGAGCATATCCAAAGATTAAAAATATTACCCTTTATGAGTCAAAAAAAAATTGACATATACATACCAAAAGAGGATTGATTGGAACCCATTCTTCCTTTGGAAGCCATAGTTGCAGGGACTCTCTAGTCTCTTCAGGAGTTCTAGTTTTCTGAAAGGGCAATAGAAATAAAAAACTTATCACTATTTAAATATCTTTTGTTTCGATTGTTTTATCATTCCTCCTATTCTTTATATGGTTTAGTTATCAACTAAACAACTGATAACTGGCACATGAACGCTCATCGTTATTCGTTATCTCAATTTATTTTCTTTTTCTTTTCTTTATCACATGTGACCATATTCACATCAGATGAGCTTACATTGTCACAGAGAATTCATGAGCAACACGTAAAAAAAAAAAAAAAAAAAAAAAAAAAAAAAATGAGTTGGTTTCGATAACATTTCTCACATTGAGAGTACGACTGAACTACGCAACATAAAATTAACACGTCAAATTTCTTATAATTGCCTGGAGACAGAAAAATGTACGGAAACTTTGAATTTCAAAAAATACACATATCTAGAACATTTATGATTTATCTGTGTAAACAAGTTCGAGAGTAAACAAGTTCTGCTTATTTTCCAGAAAATGAACCAAACACACAAAGATAGTTTTCTGGAATGCAACCAAACACGAGAAATGAAAATATTTTCCAGAAGTCATTTTCTTGGTTTCCAAACACACCCTAAAGATAATTTCTGAAACATAACAAGGCAGATTTAAAATGTTACCTGTTTCGTCCCTATACGAGACACCCATCCCAGCCGATTACATATACGGTGCACATGAGTATCTACACATATCCCTTGGACATTATTCCATCCAACATTCATAACCTGAAAGTACAAACCTTAAATAATTTAGGAACACATAATGTGATCGGAAATAAAAAGAGATAAATTCCTTACAAGATGAGCCATCTTAGGCCCAATCCCTGGCAGTAGAAGCAGCTCATCCAATGTAGTAGGGATGTCCCCATCATACTTTGAGAGGCAAATTTTAGCAATTTTCTTCATGTTGCTAGCCTTTCTCGTGTAAAAACCAACCTATCAGGAAAGAAGTTGCATAAAACATTGCTTAAAAATCATGTTAAGCACAGATAGCAACATGTAGGGATGGCAATGGGTCAGGGGTGGCTACATCCACCACCCGACCTACCTTATATTTTCTCCACCCACCCCACCCCCGTCCCATATCAGGTGGACTTTTTCAAAACTCACCCCCGCCCCACTGGGTGCAGAGGTGCCCACCACTTATTATTTTATTAAAAAAATTAAAATAATATTTAAATTACTTACACATAATAAAAAAAAATTCACTAGTTATATTAAAACATAAAATAATAGAAATATTCAAATATAATAACTAAATCGTTAATTTTTTTAAAATAAACATATTAGTTTAGAACTAAAAATAGTTAAAAGTTAGCAAAAGTTCAAGAAACTTTTATAATTAACTACAGACTAGTACTTATTTTACTATTAATTTTATAGGCGGTGGGTCAGGTGTGGTCCACATGGCAGTGCTAAAAGTTTAGTTTTTTTTTTTTTTTTTTTTTTTTTTTACTTTCTATCGGTTCTTGAATTATCACCTATTCAGATCAGAACAACTAGCTAAGAATGCAAAACTGCACACCAACTGACCACTGAGTGCTTACAGGGTATATCAGGCTTTTGATGGTGGCTTCATCAGCTTTGTCGATAGCATCTGCAGTAAGTAAACCATTTTGAAGGAGACGCTGAACAGCTCCTGCAAGAACAGTAATCCTCAGATACATCTTAAGCGAGAATACCGTTTTAATAATGACATGCTTTAACATTAGGTTTCATAAGTTTATCTAAAACAAATATTACGGGAAGGTGCAAAATGCTACAAAACACTTTCAGAAGATGGTTTTGGCAGTTTAAGCTCCAAAAGTGCACTTAGCTGCTCTCTCCATATCATAAAAACTTTTGAGATTTTGATTGGAAGTTTGATTTTGTCATTTGGTGTCATGAAAATTTTGTACAACTGAAGATGGTAGGAAAGTTAGGGAAAGAAATTGCCAAGAAACTGGCGTGTCAACAATTTAGGATGTCCCCAAGGGAAAGCATTGAACATAGAAATGGATGAGAATTAATATCAGGGATGATGTAACTTAGAGTCTCGAACATTCTTGTAAAGAAAGCAGTACAAATGGTTAATATACAAGTAAATAAAGGCAGTCAAGAAAACAAGAAATGGTAAATTTTGAGCTTGCCATGTGTAACATTGTCTTTGGTTTGGCTGGACAAGAGTGAAGATACAAGGACAGCAAATCTTCTTTCCTGAAAAAAAGGACAGGCAACATCAACCCTCCAGCACTATCCATAACCAAAATACTTTATTTGGAATAAATTCATGATTCGCAAAGACGCAATAATTTCTCGAGTCAGAAACATAAAATCATATTGAGTAGTTTGTTTGAAGAAGATTTATTACCTTGGGAGGAAGAGAACTCCCGGCTTTCTCACACCCCATGGAGTCCACAGGAGCATCTTCAGAAGACCTCATTTTGTGGATTCCTTCAAGGACCTTTTCCCAGTTGGGAGGTGGTTGTACTGTATCAAATAGACAGAAATTTCAAGCATCTTCAGTTCTAATGGAATCTATTAAGATATTATGGAGCAACCACACCTTACTGAAAGATATAAATTCCACAAGAATAATGGTATAATGATATAATCCCTTACACTTGTAGTAAAAGGGGATAGATAGCCAGCTATCAAAACCGAATAATTAAGGAGAATACCCAAAAAGTCACTAGGGTTGATGTTGCCTGCCTTTAGATATTATTAGTTTAAATTATAGAAATTACGAGGCTAAAAGATGCACCATAAGTTAATCAACAATAATTAAGGAGAATACCCAAAAGTCACTAGGAATTACTGCTAAAAGAGCTAGGGTACCATATATCAACAGATTTTGCAATTCCCTTAGTGCATTAGGATTGTAGGATGTGTTCCATCTCAACTAAAAGTCTAAGTTGATAGTTGGACTGCTACACATTTATGCTTATATATATTATATGCTCAACAGGCTCCCTCACGTGTGCGGGCCGATTACTTTTTCATGGGCTTCAAGCAACACGTGGACACTAATCACTTTTTACCGGGTGGCACAGAGATTCAAACCCAAGATCTTTGGCATGGGGTTGGCTCTGATAATCGGAAAGCACATTTATGTTTATATATTATATGCTCAACATTTAGAAAGTATACCCTCTCACTCTACTATTCTAGGATGCAAAACACACACACACACAGGGATGGGAGGATATCTTAACAATCTTTGCCAATGATTCTAGAAGAGAGGGAGGAATTCAAAACCAAGGAACAATGCATTATTTCATTTTTATCAATCAATGGTCAAATAATTTGGAAGCTGCTTTTCTTGAATCTCTGAAGAAATACATGGATATCAAGCCATTTTCACTGTTTGCTTCATAAAACAGTTAAATTCAAACTCCATGGCCCATGCAGTTCCAATTCATTAAAAAATAAAGAAACAATATACTCCAGCTACAATACCTGTTTTTTGGCTTAAGGATAGAACTTCCTTCCCAATCATGCCTTCACTTGAGACAGGTGCTGAACAAAGAATGATATCCAAATTAATCAAACCAAATAACATAAAATTTCAGTAAATTAAAAACAACTCAAGTAACAGGTCACACTCTAGCAGTAATTAATTAATTACATTCACTATTCTGCAAAATATTTAGTTTAGAAGTTACTACCAAGATATTAGCCTATGTTACATTAAATTTCACAAAGGTCTACAGCATCTTGGTCTATGCAAAATTTATAGGAAATCTAGTGATTATTTCAAGCTCTCAATCCCATACTAATACATCCCTTCAACTAAACAGTCTCAGGAGGAAAGCCAATTCGCTCCATTCAAAACTATCACCAGTTTTTCAATTGACACAAATTAGTATTAGTTGGGGTCAGGTTAGCTGGGACAAGATAAACTAAAAAGAAATTGTAGTATTGTGGGGCAGGTATTCTGAGAAATAATACCCTTTTATGTCTTATTTGCCAACTAATAAGTAGCTTGTTTTAAAATGGAGTTCTATCCTTGCAATAATATATTTACTTATTTAGGATTACTCTAGTAAATTGGATACTATATGAAAAGCTATGGGAGAATTTGGTTAAAATATAAGAATTTGAATCGAATTTAGGATCAAATGTTTAGTAACCAGAATAAGTTTTTAGTAAAAGTAATCTACTTGTTTGGTAGAAAACTTGGAATTGGAGTCACAATAAATAAATAAATAAAAATTCTCTCCATCAATAAACGCACACAACAAAATCACTGCCTGTAGCCAAAAGCATCAAAGTTGCCACCTATGGAGTCTGGACAATGGCTTTTAGTGAAACCAGGAAACTTTATAAATAAAATTCATTATTCTTTTCCCCCCTAAGTTATTTCCAGTGCACAAAAAGGCACGGGGCTAGGAACGAAATCAATCATTCCTTGATTCAAATTCCACTCCAAAGTGTGAAAAATTGCAAACAAACAAGATTTTGGATTCAAATTTGATTCCAAAACACAAAACCCTTGAACCAAACACCCCCTATGAACTTTATACTTAATCAATAGAGTATAATTGATACAACCATGGATTATAATTGAACCAAACGCCCCCTATGAACTTTATACTTAATCAATAGAGTATAATTGATACAACCATGGATTATAATTGAACCAAACGCCCCCTATGAACTTTATACTTAATCAATAGAGTATAATTGATACAACCATGGATTATTATTATTATTATATAGTGGGATAAGTGGATAACCACTAATATAGGCATTTCATGGGCATGTATTACACTTTGCAAGTAGTTGGTTAGTGGGTGGTTTATATGTTCTTGTATATATAGCTACCTATGCAAATGTATAAGATACTGAAGAATATATTAATGAATTGTCTGGTGACATTCTATTCCCTTTTCTGGAGTTAGGCTATCACTTGAAGTATAGCCATTTGGAGTTGGGCTGCCACTCGAAGCACAGCCATGTCTTTTCTCCCCCCTTTTCTGGAGTTTGACTCTTGACTTGAAGAAGAGCAATCCATACAACCTCAGGGTTGTATCAATTGGTGCTTTCATTGAGAGTATCAACCTGGAAAAATTATTTCCAGGCTTGAGGAAAAAAAAAAACATAGTTGCACCTGTGGATTTGCTATGACATACGTTCATCTTTTCCAAGTTGATACTCTCAATGAAAGCACCAATTGATACAACCCTGAGGTTGTATGGGTTGCTCTTCTTCGAGTCAAGAGCTAAACTCCAAAAAGAGGGGGGAGAAAAGACATGGCTATGCTTTGAGTGGCAGCCCAACTCCAAATGACTATACTTCGAGTGATAGTCTAACTCCAGAAAGGGAGATCAAGAAGAGAATGTCACCAGCCAATTCATTAATATATTCTTCAGTATCTTATACATTTGCATAGGTAGCTATATATACAAGAACATATAAACCACCCACTAACCAACTACTTGCAAAGTGTAATACATGCCCATGAAATGCCTATATTAGTGGTTATCCACTTATCCCACTATATAATAATAATAATAATCCATGGTTGTATCAATAATGCATCTAAAAAGGAATGTCAAAGACCTTAGTGCATGACATCTACAGAGGATATATCACTGCAGTCACATTTCATGATTTCAATATCTCTCCCTGACATTAACATCCATATTAGTTAGACAGTAATAAGGCAGTTCTTGTGCTTATTCTTGGGAGTAAATATGCAAGAAGGTAGCTTTTTAAAAAGATTTAAAACAAAAAAGAGAAGATAGACTATTTCTTAAGAAAATAAAACCCAGTCCTGAAAATTTTCCCTGGAGGAGCTCCAGGGCAGAAAATGAATTAGGTGGAATACGGCAATTACATTGATGTAAAGGACTTACTTGACTGAGAATTGATGGCATCCTTCCTATAAGAAAAATCCTCGATATCAGGAAGTCCAAGAACCTGCAGCATGTAGATTGATGGATCCATTTTATTTTTCAATTTTTGTTCCTAAACCAAAAAAGAATGAACTGAGGTAATATGACTAATGATTTAGAGTACTTGTGGAGTTCATTTGAATGGGTGATATTTTAATCATGTCTATAGAAGTGACTAGCGTTGCGCTAATGCTTGGCAATATTAGTTAAGACATGAAAGGAAGCTCATCCATCTTATCATACAATTTATATCACTGTATGCATAAGAAGCTTAGAGAAGGGCTCAGAAAGAATTTCTTGAATTAGCTCATTGTTTATGGCCTTAACTCATGGAATTCTTCCTTATCTACCAATTTTAAAAAGAGTTTATTCTACTTTTGATCCCTCAACTAGTTAATTATAGTGGGTTTCCACTTATGGTTCTCAACTTTGTTTATTTCCACTTTTAGTGCTCAACTTTTTCAAATGTTCCACTTTTGGTCTTTCAATTTTAAAAACCATCCCACTTTTAGTTCAAAAATGTCCGAAATGTCCTAAATTTGTAAAGTTTCACTAAACTTTACCTTATTGTATTTTATGGCATTTTGCACTAAAAGTGAAATGTTTGAAATAGACAAGAACTAAAAGTGGAAAAAATCAAAGTCAATCACCCTAAGTAGAAATGACATCATGGTTAAGTGACCAAAAGTAAAAGAAACTATATGTCAAAGTACATGCATAATTTCTTTATTTTCATCTTTTTCATTAACAGGTTTCGCTCTCCAAAATCTTATTTTTCTTTGTAAGATTAAATGTCAACCCAAGCCAACATCAAAGCTTAATTCTTTTTTGAGTGTCTAGAATTGTCATGACTATTCTGTTTACTTGATAATGTATAGTTCATAATCAGCACTCAACAACAGATATCTGGAATAAGCAAAAAGACGTTAGAGGCTATGGTGCAGAACATACTAAACTTCATGTTCTGCTCCAATAATTATCTCTTTCAAATTTCAGCTACCTTTGGCAGCTATTGAAAAGGTGCAATCTCTTTTATCAATCCTGTATTAATTCACAGCTCTAGCACGTATAGATGAAAGTTAATGATCAGGGTGGAGACAAAACCTTAACGTTTGTTTGGATTTTTCTGGTATAAAGAAGATAGCAATGCTTATTATTCAAACCTAAGTTGAAGGATTGTTTAAGCACTTTTTGCCCATGACTATCCTAGTCATTTCACCCATGAGTGCTGCATGACTAAAATGTCATGGAATGAGGGAAATCATAAAATTTCAGGGAAAAAAAAACATAAAGAGAATTAATACATTTTGCCTTGTTCATTAATTCACAAGTTCGAGACTTTTTATTGTTTTTTGTGTCATCACAACCAATCCGAGAAGGCAAAGCTAGACTACAAATTCCAAATATTTCTTCCTCAAATGCACTCAATCCCTTCACATTTGACCAATACCAAGTCCACATCCCAAACAAATTATACTCCATCTAGTGTTTTACAGCTAGTTTCTCTCTTAGGGGAAATCAACATTTTGGTCCCTCAATTGTTTTCCAAGTGTCAATGTAGTCCCTGGTTTTAAATTTCAACCAATTTGATCCTGAATTGTTTAATATTTCATCAATTAAACCCTTTTAGGAACCAAATTGACGAAATTTTAAAAATGTGGAAATCACCATTTTGGTCCTTGAAAGGGTTTAATTGACGAAATTTTAAACAACTCAAAGATCAAATTGGTTGAAATTGAAAACTAAGGGCTACATTCCCAGTTGGGAAACAATTGATGGACCAAAATGGTGATAAACTCTTCTCTCTAAATATTGGAAGTTTCCATCAAAGAATTGTGACAAAAATGATCCAGTAGCCAAGCTGTGTTAGTTCTTCCTCACATAATGTCCATTTGAATTAAGTGGTAGAAGTGTGTAAGCATTTCAATATGTGAACTCTTCAAACCGCACATAGCCAATAAACACTCATAGGATAAACAGGGCCTTGTTGAAACTCTGATCACTAAAACCATAAAAGTCGAAACTATCTAAACAAGGCAACAATCACAAATATGATAGTTAAGAACCGGAGAATTTTTAGAAAGATAAAAGCTTGGGTAACAAAGAAATGCGAGACATACTTTTTTATTTGGAGATTCTTTCTCAATCTCGTTGGCAACAATTTCCACTGCCTTCTTCACTCTCTTTCTCCTAATAAATACGCGAAGTTCCGCCGCAGAATCCCCACTGGGATTTTCTTGAGAGCCTGAAATTGGACTCGTAAAGATCCAAACTTTACGATAGTGGGTAACCAAAAGTGGGCTAAAACTGACCTGGGTTAGGGTTGGAAGGCGGAGTTCGCCTAGGAGTTCTTGACATTTTGCTACAGAAGATGATTCGCGCGGGAACACAGGGCGCAGGCGCAACAAGTGGAGACAACGTCCACTTGAGAAGTGGGAGAGACATTTAGACCGCCGGAAGGATTTGAGCGGAGTTATTCCTTTAAAAAAAAAAAAAAAAAAAGAATTTCTTATATAAAATATGAAAAGAAAATGGCTAAAGTGTCATCCCGCACCATGAACTATAACCGATTATTTATGCCGCACCCTGATCTTTAATAACATCCATTTCGATCCACAAACTACTTATTTTTTTTCATCTAGAACTTTTCACAGGTTTCCTAGGTATCAAGATGACATGGCACCGGTTATTAGCTGATGTGGAACTTCTTTCTTGTTGACGTCATTAATTTTAATGTTGACTTGTTGACATGTCACCTTTGAATTTCTTTTTTCTTCCGGCAAGAGTTTCATCCCTTCTAGCTGATGTGGGGTTTCTTTCGTTCTTCTCCTCTCAGATTCGACACGCACGTAAACCGATATCTTCTCCGGTGAATAATTGTACGCCACAACTGACAAGGCCGTGTTCACCAGTCCAGCGGCGACGCCATAGTCGTACTCCATTACCAACCATTGCCTGAAAGTGGTACGCCATAACCGACCATCGCCAGATTTTCCAGCGGCGACATAGTCCTTCTTTCACCGCCTTCTCAAGATTTTCCAGGAACTCTGGTCCATTCTCGTCACCTGCCGCATGTGGTAGCTGCCTGCGTCGTCGACCAGTCCTTAATATCTATTCCTTTTAGTTTTTTAGTAATCTAGTCCTTACTCCTTAGTGAACTTTTGATTTGAAGAGGACCAAAAGGTATTAATTCACTGCAGAATGGTGACTGTTTTTGAGTCATCCAATCCTTGCATATTTTCTTACTTCTTGATGTAGAGTCCGGTATTAAGAGTTAAATTTTTAATGGTGACTGTTTATCTGCGTTTTCTTGACAATGAATTAGAACTGAAAACCATTGTGTATTCTTTTTTTCTTCATTTGTGGAACTTCTGTATCTAAAATTGTCATGTCATTCTTCTATATTTAAAATATCAAATAATAGAAGCAATTGATACGATTTAAGTTTTTTTTTTTTTTTTTATAAAAAAATTGCTTTTTCGCCTTCTCAAAGCTAAAAAAGTTGGGCCCATGTGGTGGCGGTGCCGTATCCCGGCCGATGCCAGTCAACCAAATGATGAATCTCTGCAAGCTCATTGCTGTCAGCACCGCGCAGCTCCTTCGGCGTACCAGTGCAGTGGTGAAGCTTCCTGCGATGAAGCAGCAGCGGTAGTAACCAACGACCTTGGACATCTCTTTCTCTCTCTTCCTTTGTCTCCCTCCCTCTCTCGTCGACGGCAGCACCGCACCGAGAACAGCAGCAGCATCCACCATCTACACACCTCTTCTCTCGCCGGCGTTGACAGCAAGTTCTGGATGTCGGCGGTGAATTTGGCGACTCTGGCATACCAGTGCATCAGCGAATTAGAAGCGGCAGTGACGGACGGTTGGAGAAGAACATGAAAGGCGAGAAGATTAGGTCATTAGGGAGAAGATAGTTGACTATGTTGATGGAAAAAAAAAAAAAAGAAAGGAAAAAATCCATGTCATCAAATTATCACTTGCAACTTGTAGGTAACCTATGAAATGTTCTAAATGGAAAAAAATAATTGGTTTGTGGATTGAAATGGATGTTATGAAAGTTCAGGGTGCGGCATGAAGAATCAGTTATAGTTTATAGTGCGGGATGACACTTTAGCCAAAGAAAATTGAAAAAATATCAAATAAGCGACTATAAAATGATATAAAGGGTGTGTTTGGAAACCCAGGAAATAATTTCTGGAAATCATTTTTCGGGTTTTGAGTGTTTGGTAAGTAGGAAAACATTAAAGTCAATGGAAAATAAAGTTGGGTTAATGGAAAATAGAGTCGTTATGGAAAATGACTTCCCCCTTTTTTAAGGGGAAGTCATTTTCCGCTTCAACCTTCTTCTCCGCTTCTCGACATCACTTCTTCGCTTCTGGACATCGCTTCATGGCTTCTCGACATCGGAAAATGATTTTCGACTTGGAAACGCCTAGTTCTGGATTCAAGTCGGAAACCAAACTGGTTTCCGGCTTGGAAATGTAGATTCTGGATTTTCAAAGCCTAGTTCTGGATTCAAGTCGGAAATCAAACTGGTTTCTGACTTGGAAATCCAGAAATTGGAAATCCAAGTCGGCGACATGGAAATCCAAAATCTGTGTTTCCAAGTCACGACTTGGAAACCCAGATTTTGGATTTCCATGTCGGAAACCAAATTGTCAGAAACCAATTTGGTTTCCGACTTGGAAAACCATATTCTGGATTTCCAAGTCGGAAATCAATTTTGGTTTCCGACTTGGAAAACCAGAAATCGGAAACCATTTTGGTTTTCGACTTGGAAAACCAGAAGTCGGAAACCAGATTGGTTTCCTTGACCAATCTGGTTTCCAGCCGACCCAATGAGTACCCTCAGTTGGAACTGCCGTGGTTTGGGTAATCCACGGATAGTTCGTGAAGTGGTGAACCTAGCGTCTCGTAAGAAACCCGATTTTGTATTTTTGATGGAAATCAAGGTGGGACGGATACACGCTGAACGTATTCGTGTCAAGCTTGGTTTTAATGGTCTCTTCTATGTTGATTCAATTGGGCTAAGTGGTGGTTTAGTTTGTTAAGGAGGAAGAATAATACTGCAAGGCTGTTGAGTTATTCCCGGAATCATGTGGATGTTGAAGTAAGCATGATTGGTTTCCCCAACTGGTGTATGACTTGTTACTATGGGTTCCCAGAGCGAAACAGGCGAAATAATTCTTGGGAGCTTCTAAAATCACTTGCACCCATGTCGGATCTCCCGTGGGTTGTATTAGGTGATTTTAATGACCTCCTTTATCAGTATGAGAAAAGGGGTGGAAACCCACATCCGGATGGCCTCCTACGCGGTTTTGGGGATGTTGTTGATGTTTGTGGACTATCTCAGATGCCTATGGAGGGTTACCAATTTACATGGGAGAAAGGGAAATGTACGACTAACTGGATTGAGGAGAGACTAGACAAGGTATTGATTACAGATGGATGGAAGGAAAATATGCCAGGGGCCACAGTCACTAATCTATTGACCCGCTATTCAGACCATTCTGCTCTTTTCTTGGGAATCCAAGAATCCCGTAGAGTGGGAGGGACTGGTAGGAGGGGTTTTCACTTTGAGATGGCATGGTTGCACGATGAGGGGTGCAGAAATGTGGTGGAAAAGTCATGGGGGAAGGAAGGCATAGGGGTTTGCAAGATTGTATTAAGCTATGCGGGGATCGTTTGACACGATGCGGTGGTGACCGTTTTCATAAGTTTGGTGAACAGCTACTGAACCTCCGGAAAGAACAACTACATTTGAGGGGGCGCACGAATCCAGCTTCACTGGCAGAATTCCAGCGTCTGGAGGAGCAGTTAAGCCGCATTGAAACCCAGGAGGATACTTACTGGAGACAGAGAGCCAAACAGCATTTGCTCAAGGATGCTGACGCCAGTACGAAATATTTTCACAGGTATGCCTCTCATCGTAAAAAGAAAAATACTTTAACTAGGCTTATGAATGATTCTGGGGATTGGGTGGAAGGGGAGACCATGAATAACGTTATTTTGGAGTATTTTAATACTATTTTTGGCTCTAGTAACCCTGAGAATGGAGAAAGTTTTTTTCGAAAGAATTACTCCACGGGTTACTCGGGTACAAAATAAATCTCTGCTCCGGCCGTTTCAAATTGAGGAGGTCAAATCTGCACTATTTTCAATGTATCCAAATAAAGCACCTGGGCCTGATGGAATGAATCCGGGGTTCTACCAACACTTTTGGGATGTGGTAGGTGGGGATGTCTCTCGATTTATAGTTGAATGTCTTAACTCTCGGGCTCTCCCAACTGGTCTGAATGACACTGATGTTGTTTTAATTCCTAAAAAAAAAAAAAAAAAAAAAAAAAAAAAAACCACCCCTGAACGAGTGACTGATTTAAGACCTATAGGCTTGAATAATGTGGTGTATAAAGTTATGACTAAGATGATTACGAACAGGATGAAGCCGCTAATGGATGGAATAATATCTGACTTGCAAAGTGCTTTTATTCCTGATAGACTGATTACAGATAACATCCTAATAGCTGCAGAGGTTAAGCATTACTTGAACATGAAACAGTGTGGGGCTGTTGGCTGGGGAGCTCTTAAGTTGGACATGGCTAAGGCCTATGACCGCATGGAGTGGCCTTTTGTATGTAACATGCTGTTGGCCCTGGGATTTTATGGTAGATGGGTGGAGCTTATTATGACCTGTGTAACTACAGTATCTTACAGTTTCTTGCTCAATGGCTCTCGTAGTAGTCATGTGGTGCCAACACGGGGTTCGAGACAAGGTGACCTGCTATACCCCTACTTATTTATTATCTGTGCAGAAGGACTTTCTCTATTACTCCAGCAGGCGCAGATTAGTGGCAGCATACACGGTTGCAGGGTAGCTAGAGGTCCCCCCTATTTCTCATTTATTCTTTGCAGATAATAGCCTATTATTTTTTAAAGCCAATGCTCAGGAGGCTGGTGAAATCAAATGTTGCTTGTCTGTGTATGAGAACTTATCTGGAGAAGTGGTGAACTATCACAAGTCTAGCATATGTTATAGCAAGAACACACAAGAGGAGGACAGGGAGGAGGTGGCTCAAATATTGGGGGTGGTGCAGGCTCCTAATTTTCGCAAATATCTGGGGCTCCCCTCTTTTGTTGGACGAAACAAGAAGGCAGCCTTTTCCTACATTGAAGATAAAATCAAGCAGAGGATTTGCTCCTGGAATAAGAAATTGCTCTCGCAGGCTGGTAACGAAATCCTGTTGAAAAGCGTGGCTCAATCTATGCCTACCTTTTCAATGAGTGTTTTTTACTACCTATATCTGTTTGCACAGCTATTGAGCGAACCATGAATCGTTACTGGTGGGGATCAGGTTCGAAACGGGGAATCCACTGGAAGGCTTTGGGATAAATTATGCATCTCAAAGAAGTATGGTGGTTTGGGTTTTAAGGATCTTCGTGCCTTTAACCTGACTATGTTGGGTAAACA